TTGTGGTCCGTGTACAGGAGAATATTGTTTAGATTGTCATAGGTCGACCTGCCGTTTCGGAATCCACTTTGGCTATTTGGTAAGACATTTTCATATTCTACCCACCATTGAAGTCGATTTTTAAGAATAGATTCAAAGAGTTTGCAGAGACAAGACGACAAAGCGATCGGTCTGACATCGATGCAATTGGGTTTTGGGATGAAGTGGATATATTGCATGGACCACTCTTTGGGAAAAGTGGAAGAAGTGAACATAAGATTAAATATATCCACCAGAATTAATTTATACTGTACTGATAATTTATCTATTACTTCATAATTAATACCGCCCAGACCTGGGGAGGATTTCTTTTTACGCATTCTGAGGGCCACATTAAATTCTACAAAGCTAAACATACTATTCAAAGGGTTATTTTCTTGACAGTCTGGTATTTTATCAGGGTCGGTAGGGCACCAGGACAGGCTAAGTGTGTCAAGGCACTCGGAAATTTTGGACTCAAATTGTAAGTGATTGTGTTTATCAAGGGAGTCATTATCGACCCATGCATTTTTGAGGATTCTACTTGTGTGCCATGTGTATTTCATATTTTTCCTTATATCGATGGTCTCTGCAAACTTAATGAATTGTTGTGATCTTTTAGATTGCAATATTTTTCTGGTTTCTTTGTCTCTTTCTTTATATATTTCTAAGTCTTCATCCTTCTTGGTAAATTTCCATTTGTTAAAGGCCGCACGTCTTTTTTGCTTCGACCTATCACATTCACTATCTCACCAGGCTCTTGGATTTCTATGTTTATAGTCAGGGAGAATTCTTTTTTGAGGGGTAAATTTTTTTATAGCTGAGGAAACCTGGTCAACGAAAAAATGATATTTATCAGTGGAAGATAATTCTTCATATTCTTGCTCTAGAAATTTCTCATATGATTTTTGCAATTCTTCAGTGATTGTGTCCCAGTCTGTTCGGATTGAGTTCACTTTAAATGACGTCTTATGGTAGATTTTTCTTTCTGTGATTATTTCAATTATTATAGAGAGATGATCGGATTACAGGGTTCATCTTCGACTTCTAGTCTAATTTTATCTGCGATTGATGCAGATGTAAGTACTAGATCAATATTGGAATGGCTGCGATGATCCATACGTGTGATGGTGTCTGTGTTGTGAATCATGAGATTATGACGATTGATTGCATCATAAAGACGGGTACCACAGGTAGTGGTGTCATCGCAGTTCCATGCTGTGTGGTGAGTTCAAGTCCCCCATTAAAATTGTGTTTTTAAGTGTGTTGGTGATTGAGAAAATTTTGTTCTATGTGTCATGTGATATGTTTGTGGGTGGGGGTCTATAGATCGCCAGTAAATTGATAGGGGGTTTGACATTGATGTTTATTCCTATAGTTTCGATCAGCTCTACAGAGAGTAATTGAGTGCTAATTTTTTTGTATGCATAATGATTCCTGATGGCAATCAGGAGTCCTCCTCCTGTTGTGTATTTTCTATCTTCTCTAACAAATTTGAATCCTGGTATTCTAGGTTCAAATTTACTATTGACTCGGATTTGTGTCTCGACGCAGACAATAACACCAAATTTGTGTGAGACGGCGATGAGCTGATTCATGCGTAATTGTATACTACGGCAGTTCCAAAATAAAATGCGTAGTTGTTGACTTATATACCGATTATTTGGGGGGTTATTGTTTTGAGAAGCCATTGTTGTTATTTGTTTGTTGACCTACCGACTAGACGTACTCGGACGCGATGAAGTGTCCGAGTAATTGTCACTGCTATTCATTTTTTTTATTATTCTGCCAATTCGACTCTTAAGTTTTCTATCCTTAATCATTCAGGAAACTTTAATTAACATTATCTCTAGTTTTTCAATATCCCTCGTGAAGCTTAGAGCTACTGACTTTGGATGAGAGTTACCATGAGTTCGATACAAAAACATTATTAAATCATCGTAAGAGATAGAGTGATCAGACTTATCTTCGTTAAGTTGTGCTGCAATTGAGGAAATCTGCTCTTCAATGTTCTTCAATAGGTCATCTGATGCGGGCGAAGTGGAGAGATCTTTATCATGAGTTTCCTTCCTGGTGTTGACATCTTCGTTGAATCTCTTGTCAGTCGGAGTAATTTTACGTGGTGGTGGGGGTACTGTATTGGATGTCGTTGAGCTGGGTGTGGATCTGGTACGTTTGAGAGGCAAAATTTGTTGATCACCGAGGGTCCTTTTGCATGTTTGTACTGAGTCTGTGGCCATAGGGCAGCTCATCTGTGTAGGTATAAGGTCGTCATTGATATGACAAGTCTCAGAGATATATTGGGCGTTATCAAGAGTCGGATAATTGTCTGTAGTTCCCCCGGTTACTTCTGTGAGCTCTTCTTCTTCGGGAAAATCATCATCAATGTACTGCGATGGGTGGGGAGTCGAGTTACCCGGGTATTCTCTGGCACGATGACCCGGTTTGTGACAGGTAAAGCACTTAATAGCAACGGTGGACGGATAAATCCAATATGTAGTGTCGTCATCAAGGAGAACTTTAAATTTGGGTGGAACTTTTTGAACTTGGTCATGAGGAATAAGTAATTGTCTACGACTGCATATCACATATGACAGATCCTCTTCTGTTATTCCAGCTCTGATTGGGGTAATCGAGGATTTCAGCTCGATTCCCAATTCCTTTAATTCGTCCTCTAATATTTTGTTGGATATCCAGGGGTAAACATTGGACAGGATTAGTCTCTTGTTGATTGCGGTGTACGATCGAACAGGAATTTCATGGCCATCGATTGTGATTGTAATTTCTCTCTCAGCTAACTTATCGACAAGTTTACTATTGTCTAGTGCAATCAAAATTCTCTGGTTGGAAAGTTTCGAGGATTGAATGATCCTGCTCTCCTTCCATATCTTGCTTAGCGCAATGGGGTAGTCATTGACTCTGATTCCAGGGATTGCATCTAGTATTACTGAGTGCTCTTTTTTCGGTAGGTTCGATTGTTTAATAATCTGTGAGTAACTTACTCTGGTAGTGTTGCTGGTGTTTTGTCGGTTCATTTTGTCAGCTTATATTAACCCTGTAGTCAGAAGTAACTCACTGATCCTGTTTCGGCTTGTTTAATGTGCAATCCCCCTTTCCGAGAGGGGAAAGATAAACGAAGACTCTTTAATTTAAATAATTTCACTTATCAAATTCACAGTAAACTCTGGGTCTCGTAGACCCCTTACATTACTTCACTCGTATATTGAGTCGAAGCGTTGACAAACACGTCTTACTCGTTCAACGGTTCACGAAGGAATCCGATCTATTGTATTCTTCCAGTAAATATTATGTGGCAGAAAAAATGTCGGAATTTGGCCGTAAACTATGATAGAAAACCAATGTATAATACGTCGTATTAGTGGGTGCAAAATCCATTGACATGTCCAGCGAAAACGTATATATTTGGATGGTCGTATACACCCATTATGAATGGATCGGCCATCCGGGCTCCATGCGTTCGATAGTCATCTACCATCTAACTCGGAAGGCGGTAAACATGTCCCTAATGAATAGTTGCTTACTCGAGCTCTGTGACGTATATTCTGAGATGTGAGACATACGTTCAATATTAACCGAATTATTTAGAAGTTGATGAATCTAGACTTAATCGATAGCACAGTTGCTCAGTAATCAAGTTTGTAGAAGCTCCTCTTGCCGAGAATTAGCACAAAAAAGTGAAAACTATAAAAAAAAGCCGTGAAAATAGCTCCATGCGAGGTTTCACTGCCTACGCAGACAGAACGGTTAGAGTCGGGAAAAATCGCACTGGACCTGATTTTTAGAGAATGAAATTTCCAACAAAACCCTCAGTGGGAACATATTGCTAGCCCCAATAGTTTAGACGTCAGGGACATTCGAAGTTTTATCCCCAAAATCCAGATATTTGCCTGGCATGATTACGATTCCTTTAGCGCCATAATTTAACAAATGCTTTGCGTACCATTTTTTCCCAGGATTACGGGAAAATTGTCGATTTTTGATTTTTTGACTTTTTTTCACAGAAGATAGGAGTTTATATACCGTCCCAGATCTGTCCGTTGTTTCGCCGTTCCAGTTTCACTTTACGTACAATTCATGGAAATATACCTCTTAAGGGGTAACGGAAGCGGTCGCAAAATGGTGATTTTTTCATCCCATTTTTCTCCAATTGTATCCAATATAAATGGTTGAAATTTTGACCAAGTATTGAGGGCAGCCTGAGGAAGGGCATCTATCTATTAGTTTTCAGATTTTTTTTGCATAAAAATTGCAGAAATGTTAATGACACAGCTCAGGTTATCGTTTTTACAGGGAAATGTAAACTGAAAAGCGACAAAAACGTTTTTTTAGAGACTTATTGTTGTCTATCGCCATTTTCAGGAGATAGTTGCCCTCAAGGATACTCTAATACACTTATTTTGAGTAGAAAAACGTTTACCCGTGACGTCATTTTTGCAAATAATGGGTTGAAGTGTTTGGTGGAATTTTAAGGGATAGCCAGTCCTATACAGGGCAGTAATTGCAGTAGAGAGTACTTTTTCTGATCAATAGATGGTGCGTAAAGCTTTGGAAATTTTTGTCAAATGTGTATATAGCTATCAGCAGTGTCTATGAGCCTGGTAGAATGTTTCCATACCATTATTATTTATTTATATCCATTTATTTATATTTTATGGGATTTTGTACTTTTCACGTACAAAATCCAAAAAACCACGGGAACCTCCAATACCGATAGGGGGGACCCCTAACTTCTGCGTGCGACGGGTTCCGTTACCCCTTAAGGTACTTCCTCAATGAGTTATACTTCGTGAAAATTTCGCAATGAACTGAAGATCTAAAATTTGGATCATATGTACCTTAATACAAAAAAAAACTCTCTGAGTAAACAAAATCAAAATTTTTTCTGTCAATTGTTCGTTCATGGGAACATCTCCAATAGATAAAAATGAAATAGAAAAGGATTGGAAATAATGACAGGCTAATTTCTGGCGCAAATGAATCTTTTTATTCAATTTATTCTACACCTATGATAATCCGTAATTTTCATAGTTTTGTGTTCATCAATTTAGTAACAAAAAGTAATGATGAAACATTGAAAGCAACATTAATGTATATTCAACTAGAAATATTCTTCATATAGTTTTACCCTCATAGAGTCTTGTCATGTCATAAGTACATGTAAATAATATAGTAATGAATAACGAAGAATTAAGGATTAAATATGTTATTTTGAATGTCTTTTGCTGTTTTTTTATCGAAAAAATCGTGATCTAAAGTTACATTGCTCCAGAGATATTCAAAAAATCTTCTCTCTTACAATCCCATGATTATTTTCATTAGTTTAATCAATCATCCAAATGGGATAAACTCGTATAAAGGCTTATACCACAGACTAAAGTTACTCATCTCACTTTAATTAATTGAGCCAAATTAATTACTCAACCTATAACCTATCTCTGTTTCATGTCGTAAATTGTGTTTATTTAGTTATGGACGCTTCAGACTTTTAGGACATTTATTACAGTTAATTAAGTCTTAAGCCGATACTTCAGGATGTACTCAATCAATTGATCATAATTTTCATTGTCTCCCTTTTTCAGCAATTAAATTACTTTCGAAATACATTGGAGCTCGTTGTCGTCTGCCATAATATAAGGTTTTTTTGTGCTTCAGCTCAATAAAAACTTATTGAATAAAAAATTTTCCCAACGAGACTAGCAGAGTTAATATGATTTTTGTTCTTTGTTCCACAGTTTTTTTAATAATCGTTATAAAGTATTGAACACACTTGATACAAAAGCTGAACATAAGGAAATAACTAAGATTATTCGTGTTGCAAGCGTCAATCGTGAAGTTCTATCTAATTATTATTAAATTATTAATCCTTATGCCCGAAAGGGAAAAACCCGCAGTGGACATTTTCCTTGTATTTTATCTCAAATGTTTTGTTTTGGTTTGACGCTCGTTCATGGCAAATAATTCTACGAAACTTTCACGCAGTTTAATTTTCTTTTGTCTTTGTATTTTTTCTTTCTAATGTTTTTCAGCAGCGTAAATGTAACTCGATTAATAGGTTCATGCAGTCTTTGGAGTTTCAATTAAGAGATTCATTTAGAGATTTTTCTTTTGCTTAAGTAGATATGCCAGACAAAAAAAGCACTCTACGAATGTGAATGAGGAATGTGTCCCAAATAATTTTAAGAATAAATGCAGTAATTGGTTCGAGCCATAAATTGAACGAAAAATAATATAATGTATTAGACTAATCGATGATATATGTGTATAAGATTAATGGAAGGATAAGATGATAAATAGTTAAACAAAAATATGATAAAGATAGGAGGATAATGCGCGTAAGGAACTCTCTCATACCGAGAATAAAAGATGATTGAAAAAGAAACTGGAGAATATTTACAAAAATGTGGTCAACAACCCTGTTTATCATTCCTCTAACGTTGCTGAAAATACTCTAAAAAGTATTGATCCACCGGCGATGTTCGCAGCAGCGTCATCTCGATAGATTAGAGCCAGTTTCTGAATCAATTGACATCGATAATACAAAAACTGGCGTGTGGGACAATAACAAGTGGACGGCGTCTTCTCGACCGAGGGCTCGGAGCTGCTTCACGAGAGATCCAACTGTACAACCAGTTCCAGCACATGCCAATAATCTGAAGAAATAAGAGAAGACGTTTGTGCAAATAATGCATTGACAAAAATTTATACAACTGGAATATGACCAAATTTCAAATATATACTATCTGAATGGAGTACGATTTTTACAGATTTTTTTTGTGTAAATTGCACAAAAAATGAACATATTTGAAAATCCATTTTTGGACTTATTTGTACATAAAAAAATGAATATTGGTTAAAATCCATGCTCGGTTTTTGCTTTCGAATAAAAACCTTGTATTTGACCGATTTTTCGATTTTCTAATTTTGGTTGCAAATGGTCTAGAATTGTATGAAACGTGAGGAAATAATGTTTTTGGGGTCATGTAGGGGCAACTTGGGTTTTTGATGATTAATTTTTAGAATATTCAACATAAATACGGTGAAATTTATGCATAAAAATCCGAAATTTTGGGTTATTGTAGCTATAATTGATCTCAACTTTGGCGCGCTGTTTCAGCTAGGGATGGGCGTGTTAGTCGATTAATCGAAAACATCGATTTTCCTTGCCCAAACATCGATGTTTTTTATTCGATGTTTTCAACGGCCAATTAATCGATTTTCGATTCTTTTTTTCAACCATCGATATTTCTGACCAAGCTAACAAAATTTTTTATTTTTTTATCGAATAATAATGTTGATTGATTGAGAATAAACAAAATAATAATTTATTCGCAATCAGGAGTAATTATTTTCTACACTACGTACATTATAAATGATAAGTGAACGAGTCCAGCCATCTATCGCTTTTTTTAATTTAAGTTTTTTAATTTTCTTAAAATTTAAATTTTTAACAATTATTGCAGCGAACGTCCGGCCACGGAAAATATTCAATATATTTTTTTCAATTAATCAACAATCCTGTTTGAAGATTCAAAATTTAACTCTCCAGCAAAACTTATCATTGAAACGTAAGTTCCTTGGGTTGTCGTATTTTTAAAATATTCATTTTTCAATAAACACGAGAAAAAAAATTATTTAAAAAAACGTGTTTTGCTTCCGAATGGAAGTTTTGAAAATGCAATTTTTTTCGATTCTCTAATTTTGCTTGGATATGACTCAGAGTGGTCTGAAACGTCGAGATATGATGTTTTTAGACGATGTCTGTATGTATGTGTGTGCGTATGTGTTGTGATCTTCAACTATTTATTATTTAATTAATTACAATGGGATTAGGATGAGCAAATAACTGAGGATAAAGAAGGGATATAATTAACAAAATAGGATATATATTCTGAATTATTTGAATACACTAGTTCATAACAAGCAGAAATTGCCTTTTAATATTGAGCTAGGGGAATGGGTAAGGCCAGGCTATTTTTGTACACGCCAAAATTGGGGATGATTCTAATCATAAAAAAGAGAGAAGAAGCTAGTGGGTCTAGGGGGAGATTATTCAGGAAAAATATATTCAGCATGAAATGTTCAATGATCAGAAAAGGGGCAGAATGGGTCGTTGGCTCACCGTTGGGGGGAAATAATGTACGGAAAAATATTTTTGGGATGGAGGGAGACGGATCAGGTACTCACGACCACGTGTGATGGCTTCAACAGGCGGCGGATGTCCGACAATGCACGTTGTTTCCTGGGCGAACAGCAACGGCAAGGAGGGACCTCGAGCCTTCCTTATCAGGGACGTCGTCTCCAGGAGTCGGTTTCTGTGGCCTCCAAAACGGCTCTTTTTCTCCGATTTCAGATGGCACAAAATGGACTGGATTCAATATATCTTTGATCACGTAACTAATTTTACTCAACAGATAGAAATATGGGCACGTGTTCGCTACGAGGACTGCTGTAGCACGAGTTAGTGGTCTTTCTCTTCTTTCTCCCATTCTCCTTCTTTGCGCTTATTCGAACTTGTTTCGTGTGAATTCGTGATGGATCGGTGCCAATCAGAGATCTTCGCAGGGGGCCGAGGTGACGTCTCAGGATCGTGTCATGTGTGACGGTCGAGGGTTATCAAGTCTTTTGTGTCCTTTGCAAGGGTTCTTCCGAAGGAGGTGAGCTCCCCAAAGAGCGGATGAGTAGGCCGGCTATGATCAGAATTCCCGAGTAGTGTTGTCTCTGTTTCAAGGGGAGAGGGTAAAAAGGAGAATAAGGGGAAATGCTTGAGGTAGCCAACGGTGGACAACTGAGTATTTTACGGGGAGGTAAATTGGTGGGAGAAATCAACTTGACATCGTCACAGTGTGTATGTGTGTGCGTTTGTCCAGAAATGTGTCAACAACTCCAAAACCGTAATTGCAAAAAAAAAAAAAATTTTGGCTCACAGTTGGTACCAACGAGATACAAATCTGCGCTAAATCTCAGTCTGATCGGTTCAGTAGTTCCTGAGATATAACAACTTCTTTAAATTTCATTTTTCCTCAATATCTCTAAAACTACTGCACTGATTTCTATTTTTCTTTTCTTCAAAATATTTGTCTCGGTGGCCTCTATCTAGATCAATCAAAATGTGTATACCCTTTAACACCTCAAGTACGGCGCCCATATCGCGCGGTGTATCCTCATCGTCGACGGCTTCCCGTTTACTCGAATTCACTGGTCAATACGCGACAATTTCTACACTGATGACCAAAAAATTATCACCTAAAATTTAAGGTACTTCCGCAGTAAGTATACTTGGTGAACATTTCGAAATGGTATAAAGATGCAATATTTGGATCATATGTTGTTGACCACATTAAAAAGATATTCCCAAAATTTCAAGTCCTTGGTCCACCCCATTTTTGAGATATGCTGCGCCAAACATTCAATTTTTGTGTTTTTTTCATTTTTGACGATGTATATCTCGAAAATGGGGTGGACAAGGTACTTGAAATTTTGGGAATAGTTTTTGAATGTGCTCAACAACATATGATCCAAATATTGCGTCTTTATACCATTTCGAAATTTTCACCAAGGATACTTACTGCGGAAGTTCCTTAATGATGATTTTGAGTTTTTACCAATAAGTTATTCAATTACGGTATTCCTTTATACAGATTTTTCTTGAATTTTTAAGACTAATCTCAGTTCGATAGTACGAACGATTGCCAAGATCGGCGATTGTCGGAAATTTGTTAATAACAAATCAGTGATTCATTGAAACGAAATTTCGTTTGCGTCATTCGACAAAGGAATGTATAGAGTATGTTCGGTAAAAATTCCAGAATTTTTTATGAAACTTAGCTCGATAAACGAGAGGTTTGAATATGTATCTGACGTCGAATTCAGTTCCGTATGGTTTATGTACTGAAGAAAAATATTAAAAATAACTTGAAAAATGTTGGAAAGGTAGCGCCAGCTCTCGGTCCCCACTGGGCGCTTGCGTATGATATACATTGTGAGGTAATTTCCCAAGCGCGTCTGCGGAATTCAGACGCATGGTTCTCCACGAACTTCCAGCGACCCCTTTGGATTCTCTCAACCCAGAATTAGAACGACGGGAATAACGAGAGGAGACAAAATGCCAAAAAGGGCGCCAGTCCTTTTAACCGCCAAAGGACCAGGTCACACCGTTGAGACGCGTTCCACGACTAGCTCAGATAACCGCGGAGGTGTGTGGGAACAGGCTACAGTGAGCGTAACTCAACAGTATGCAAATTTTTAGAAAACAAAAAAAAAACATCTTTAATCCATGAGTTTAGTGTGATCTTTTCCTCGTCCATACAAGAGTCAACGTAGGATTTTTGTACACGTGCGGGAGAGGACTCCCGCGAGCAAAGACGCTACACAAACAAAAAAAAATGTAATTAACTTAGTGATACTAACTAAATAAAAGAATTAATAATAATTTTAGGCTCGAATTTTAACACTCAAACGCTGTCCAAAATGGCCACCGGAGAAATGAATCGAAAAACTACGCGAGCACTCACAAATTAAATCACGCTCACCGTTTGATACGCGAGAAACTCCAGGGTAAACTCGTCTGGATCGACGTCAGGAAAAGGCCAGAAAATCTAGGCACACCAAAGTAATAATTGTTTTAACAATTTAAAGAAGCTCAAAGAGCGTGATAAAACTTTAATTGCGCAGAGTGACTTAATATGGCTGAACCCCAGCGAAGAGTGTCCGTCGGGGCCGTACATCGCCCCGAGGAATCTCAAAATCTTTTCTACCCCCACCCCGATCACGCGATGAAGCGCGGAGAATTCGCGTTATTATATGATTTTGAATTGGGAATTTTAAAATTGTCATAATTCCCAATTCCTGAGTCCCAGAGAACTCAGGCCTGCGCCGCGCGGTCGGTGGATGTGAACCGCATGGAACAGCGCAAAAGCCAACATAATTCGATGCTCCCTCAATGTTGCAGCATGAGTTTTTTACTGGGCGGCCTTGCGCCCCCGATCCAACGGTGAGGCGGTGGGGGTTCGCACGTAGAGGCCTGAGATGCCTGCTGGCGTGCGTCGATCGTCTCTCGCGTCCTTCGTGGTGTGAGTCTCTCAGACTCGGTGTGTGCGTGCTAGTCGGTGTGCTACTCGTCATCTGCTGTAGTGTCGACTTGTAGTCATTCCCGATACTCCGCTCCACTCCCCTCGTCACGAAGCTCAGGTAACCCACGGTGAGCGCGATCGACAGAGTTCGAGAGAATGATGAAAAGAAAGTAAATAATAGAAATAAAAAAAATAAAATGACGATTGTGGCCCTGGGTGATCCGACTCCTCGCCGAGGTAAAAATACTAATTTTCCCCCCATGATCCGCGGTCAGTTCAGGCGAGGAACAGTACATGATTTTTATCATGTTACAAAATATATATATATATATATATATATATATATATATTCGTTATGGGGAGACTAGATCTTGCGCATGCGCGGATCTCCTCTCCATCAGGTTGTAACTTGTGAGAGTTCACTGCACTGCGAGACGCGAGATGAGAGACGTGTTGTAGCTAATAAACCAATGTTCTAACAAGAAAACCCGTGTACTATTTATTGTGTCCACACCCGCAATCCAACAGGTTATGTGCCCAAAGCACGCTTCTTAGCGCAAATAAAAACTCAAGTAAGAAAC